GTTCCAGTAGGACACACTCTGGATTTCTTTATTAAAATAATTCCATTATTATTAACTCAGAAAGTAGCCTGAACTATAGAGATTTTCAATTCTGTTCACCATTTTATTATTCAATGAATTGTAATGAATATTATGTGTTAATTATGATTTGGGGTGGATTTTTTAGTATCCTTCCCAGGCTCAAATAATTACAATTGGGCAGCCATATAAATGCTAAATAGATAAGATTCCTGAGAATTTGGAGAAATTACAAAGCTCTTGAACTCTATCAATCCATTGTGGGTGAAATGAAATGGAGAAAATGGGACAACAGTGAATTTTCTCAAGAGTGGCTGTCTTGACAAAAAAATCCCAAGAGTCACAGCATAATTTTGTAAGAATTGCAAAACTATACCAGAAATTTGCAAGCTGTTCATCAGTCATACTTTTTCCCCCCGAGAAAGATGTTTCACTTCTCATCCAAAAAGCTTCATCGGTTTTGGCAGGATGGCGAGGACGATGGAAGGATTAATTCTAACAGGGTGGGGTGGGGTTAGAAGGATCATCTTTCTTTGCAATCATCTGGTCATTAGTACTCTCTCTGAGAGTGATCAGACCATACCAGATAACTGCAAATAAATATAATCCTTCCTTCATCCTGTCACACCTAATCCTTCCATCCTGCCAGAACTAATGATGCTTCTTGGATGAGAAGCAAAATGTCTTCTTCCTGAGAGGGGGGGGGGACCATCTAGTTGCTTTTGAAGTAGCATTGTGACTAATTATTGTTTCAGACTATCACATTGCATGGATGGCTTGGTTCATTATGCAAGTGAAACAAGTATCAAACGTGTGTGTTATTTAGCCACTCAAAGTCCTTTTGTACATTGGTAGAACTCAAAATACATAGCTGATTTAAAGCAACTGCTTGGAGCCCAAAATAATAGTCTCCTCCCCAAACAAATCAATATGCCAAAGTCACCTGTTGACAAACAAGGGTATGGCGCACTGGAGGCTCCACATAGGTAGGAGGCTTCATACTTTCTTTCTCTTTCAAAGGAAAGAAAGAAAACTGCAATCCAGGAAAGTTTTTGCCATAACTTATGTAAGATTCCCCTCTCCCCTTTCTGGATAGTTTAGGAATTTGATAATTGCACTGTAAATTGGAAGAATAGGAGAATTCATATAGTGGCTTGCTAAAAAAAAAGTCAGCTGAAGAATAAGATATAGATCAGGTGCTGTAAGAAAAACAGTTCCCTTCTCTGATAACTATCTTTTGTCATCAAAAGGGATATATCCTAATGTAAGACACAATTGACAATCTTAATATAGAAACAGTTACAGCGTGCAGTCTTTAGTTTCTTTGTTTCAGACAGAACATTAGCAGTAAACATCAGTATTCTGTATTTTGCCTGGAGGGAAAAAAAGGAAGGCAATGAGTGTATGTATTCAAGATAAAGCATGTACTAGCTTCTCTGTAATCTTTACAACTGATGTTTAAATTAAGAATAACTTGGCATGCAAAGTATTTCAGCACTCCTGCCAAAGTATTCCAAAGTCAGATCACTAAAAAATGCTTAATCACAAATGCAGAATGAAAGTAGGAAGCAGGATTTGCTGCTGCTCTTTTATTGTGAAGAAGAAGAAAAAATCCAATACAAACAATGGAAGACATTTAGATAGTGCTAATATAAAAGTTAGTGTGAATAACTGAAGGCCTTGAATCTAATGTATAAGCCTTTTCTACTGCAGTCCACAGTATCTCTTTTTGAGATTTATAAATTTGGGGATTCTCATTTCTCTCCTGTATACTTAAAAATCTATAGATAAATTTCAAGATCCATTCGGTTTTGTAGTTTGATTAGCATGACGTTTTTTCTGTTTTGAACTAGAATGAAGATCCTATCCATAAACTTGTTTTAAAAAACATTGTTTGTATTTCTCTCCAGCATTATGCCGGACTTAGAACGCAAGCAAACAAAAACTCATGCTGTTAACTAGCACAATTTTAGTTTAATTACAACTTTGAGCAGCAAATATTCAGAGTATTTATATGGTTCCCCCCCCTTCCTAAAATGCTTAAAATGATGAACAAGGGTTTTGGAATATTTAGAGGTGAGGGCCATAAGCAGTCTTAACCACTACCCAACAGTTTTTAGGAGGTTTTGGAATGAAGTGGAATTAAGTTCCTCTCTTTTCATTGCAAATCATTTAAAATTCCATCTGCCGGCCAATGCCGGCTGGCGACCACACGGAAGAGAGCCTTCTCTGTGGCTGCTCCGACCCTCTGGAA